GACGCTCTACTCTACCCAGAGGCTGAGACCCTGTTTTAATCTCAACCACGTCTGTCAGCGCGACAGATTCCAAACCGAGCACTGCCAATAGTCCCGGCACAGGTTTCACCAGGGCAGGAGCAAGAACAAGCACTGATCACAGCCCAAACCCTGGCAAAGGTAACACAGGCCAGGGCAAACGAAAGGCACATCCAGCAGCAACACCACCAGCGTCCATTCTTGATGGCACCAAGCAAGGGAATCCAAGTTGTGATTATTTTGCTTTGCTAGGTTTTTAAGTCTTTCAGCTGCCAGAGTAATTACAAGGCAGGCAGCAGTACATACCTGCCTGGAATAAAATTAAATTCCCTTTTTGGTTTTAAGCATAAGGAAGATAATTATGTTACTACCTGTAGTGAGAAATTACAGGCTACTTCTGCTAACAAGTATATGAAGTGCACGGAGGCGTATGTGCACACTTACAAAGCTGATAGAGTATCTCTGAGATTCAGAGGCCTCGTAACCACAAATACATTGAAGTACAGAAGTGCTAACACCTTACCAACAGGTAGGAAAAAGCCAGAAGTGGTTGCTAAACTTCCTTCCCCCGCTCTGTGTGAGAACTGATCCATCCACTCCTTTCCTACAGCATTTCCCAGGGAAGGTTTAGGCATTGTTTCACATAAGACAGAGTTAAACTGTGTAACTCGCTGCCACAGGATGCTAAAAGTTTCAAACAGTAATTCTGATTTCAATAGGCAGTTACATGAGTTCAAAGAAAAAGCCACCACCAGCAGCAATTAAACAAAGACACCACTTGAAACTCTAAAAAGCTTTAGAAACATAGGAAGCAAAGGCATAAAATGCTCTTTAATAGTTTCCCCACTCACCGGTCAGTTTTTATATTCCTACAGGTCTTAGCCACAGACCAGAAATCCACCACACAGGGATCACGTGGGCAGAAAAGAGACACCTTCCACGGTGAGACATTATGATATAAAGACAAGACAGAAGAGTGTCCACATAAACTAAAACCACAGAGGACACAAACCCTGAATTCTAACGCTCTGTCTGTAACGTGGCTTCTCAAACTCGTGCGCAAGACTGGCACAGAAAAGGGTCAAACCCAAGGCCTTCGAGAAGGCTCAGCCTGAAAGGTACTCCCTCAGGCAAACACTACAACAGTAAGAGTGTCTCTGCTCATGCCCTGCATCACGTTCTGCGGAGCCGCTTACACACAGAGCCACCTCCTTCCACTCTGCTACTTTAGAGTAAGTTACAAGGGACGTACTTCCCAGTCTGAGGCATGTTTCAATCCACTGTATTCACAGCTGTTAGAACTTATCACAAAGATAACCTATTCAAACAGAGCGAGCCCGTAACAAATCGCCTTGGGCCTTTAATATTGTGCCAAATGCCTTCTGGAGCCCGCCAGCTTCCAGAGCGGTGGCCTGTCAGTGTTTATTGTGCTGTCTCCCGGATGTCAACAGGACAGCACGCTCACCTTCAGCCTCTTGAGCAGCCACTGCAGGAGGCCCTGCTGCGCCGCTTCGGTGCACATCTCCGGCCGGAATTCTGCCATGTTCTCCACGATCGCTGAGAAGACAGACACAAAAACCAGATGTTTTTCCCTGCCTGTATTGACATCGCTTTGCCAGGTCCTTCCTAGGCCTGCACTGCTCTTCTCAAGGTTACATTTTACTCGCAAAACTACTTTTTTTTTTCTGAGCGAGACTTAAGCTCAGGTGTATGACACCCTCTCAGTTTTCACGTTGCCTACACAGTCCACACGCACTGTGGCACCAGCTCCTGCTGGAAGAAGCCCACAGTACTTCCCTTTATTCCAGCAGCGATACCCGCTGCATAAAACTAAAAATTCCAGCAGTAAAAATTCCAAACCTCATGTTTCCAGTCTCTTTCATTCTTCCAGTCCTCAGGAAACTGCAGTCTGAGTGACTGAAAGGATTGCAGGATGGTCTAAATAACCCACCCCCCAGTGCACAAAATACAGACAGAAGCGAGAGGCCGTGCAGCAGCCACTCACCCAGTGTGTTGTGGACACCATCAGCTTCCTCTTTCACACTTTCATCCAGGCGCTCTAAATTCTGGACCAGCAAGGCCACAACCTGGCCCTCCACCTAGATCATCAGGGTAATGGGAAAGATAACAAGATAAAAAAAGATGACTGGAAAAAAAGGAAGATAAAAGAGAAAGAATGAGGGGGTAGAGTTGGTGTGTGTAATAAATAAATGAAATAATAAAAAGTAAATAAATCAATAAGCCTTACTGAAACATCCTGCCAGACACGATCAGAAGACGTTCAAAATTTTGCTCTAAAATCTCAGAGGAAGTGAAGGAATCACCAACTAAATCTGCCATTATGTTTGTCCTAATTAATTAAACAATTTTTGTGTTTCAGATTAAACAAGAGAAACATCTGGAGGAAAACATCCACCTTGTCACAGTCTTATTTCCTGAACCAGCCTGATTGATTTATAATCCCTGAGAATTCTGAAGCGTGAGGCACCACAAACCACCGCGGGCAGGCTCCCGGTCAGCTCCGCGAGAGGCTCCGCTCTCAGCTGGTTGCCGCTGGCCTGCCCACAGCCCTGCTACGCCTTTCGCTCAACTGGCACCACCAGCTGAGGGAACGGCGCTCACACAGAGTCAAACCCAAAAGTTGGAGGAACACCAGCTGAAGCCCTGCATTTAAATCCCAGCAAGATGAACACAACAAGTCGACTTCAGCAAATCAGTGAAACCCTGACGAATCAACAGCAGGAGCAGGAGCCCAGCTCTGCCAGCGGAGCCTCCAAATCCAACAGCTAAGCCAAGGACATGCTCTTAAAGCCACAGATGGACAGAGTCCACCTTGACTTTGGCTAGCTTTCCATCGGGGACACGAGCTTGGAAAAGTTAAACAAAATAGTATTTCCAATTCAAACAGGGTCAGCTCGCTTTAGTGAACACCTGGAAAAAAATACAAGTATCAGCTGCTGTGGAAGGTAATGCAACAATCTTCACAGACGGTCTGCAACACTACACCTACCTTCTTTTCTTAAAAAAAGTAATCTCAAAAGCAGATATCTAAACATTTCTCCCCAGGTACATCTGACTTGCTTCTTTCAAAGAGGACAATAAAACCTCTAAAATCTGGCTATTATCAGTGGGCTGGTGACAAGGAAAACAGAGAGAGAACTTCACTTGATTTACTACCTCTCTGCACCTTTTATAGAAAACATCTTCTGTAGCAGCTCCTCTCTCCCATTTCATTCATCCAGCAATCTTTCCCGCAGGCAGAGTAATTAAGAAGAGCCCAGAGGCCAGCGGGAGGATCTCACCCGGGGCCACCGTCATTAACCTCGGGAAGGTAACATTATAGTGACTGGACAAGAAGGATTGTAGAAAACAGAGCAGCCAAACAAAGCAAACAAAAGAAAACCTGTAACTTCCCGGCTTTCAATTTCAACATAATAGTTACAGAACAAGGCAGAGCCACAGGGATTCACAGCCGCAGCCATTCTCTATCAGGAGCTGCCCACAGGTAGGACACACCTGCCCATCTTGAGTTTTGCTGGGCAGCGCTTCCCGGGAGGGCTTCAGCTCAGCATCCCCGTCCTGCAGCCGAGGAGCAGGAGGGATCCAGTGCAATCGCTGAGGATCCAGCGCCACAGAGGAGAGGTAACCAGGCGGTGCTTCAGCCTGAGCAACACATCTGCTGCTGCGTGCCAGGCAGCTTTCTGGGTTGTTTAAACTCTACGCCAAAAAGCATCATTACCCCTAAACCCTCCTCCACCCTTAAAATGTATTAGCTCTGTTATATGAAAAACTTTCATGCCTTTATTCTTGTTAAGAAAAACATGCCCCTGTAACAGCAGATGTCCCAGTTCAAGCACAGATCTCTGGGTTTGAAGTAAGAGTTCCTGGCTGAAAGACTGCTGGTCTCCTGGGTGACAGGACAGACTGAAAGATCCTGTCCTCCTGGTGACAACTGGAGCCCTGCCGCAAGCTTCCATTTGTCATGGGCGAACAGAGGTCACGCTTTTCCACAAGAAGGGAATAAAAGGCAAATCAAGCTCCTATTTTCAACAGGACGCTGTCCAAGTCACAAATATTACTGCATGCTCCCGCTCTGCATGATAAAATCCACATCCTACACAAATTTCACAATATTAGCAGGTTCCTTCCAAAAAAGAAGCGGCAGTCAAGGTGCAAGAAGAACTTATTCCCCAGGCTCTGGCAAAACCAACCAAACCATCCATTGTGGTCCTCAACAGAGCACCTCAGGACAAGAGAGCAGGCTCCTGCCCTGGCAATGAGGACAACCAGAGCTGCAGAAAAGAGCGGCAGAGCTGTCAGGGCTGTGCTGTGTAAGGCAGACGTTCAGGCATTGAAATTGTCTGGGTTTTAGTACTTACCAGAGCGTCTATGAGGACTTCAGCTCCTTCTTCACTCTCATGGAGAGTATCTATATCAGTCAGTTCCTGAAGCAAGTCTACCACAGCAATGGAAACATGTGCTCGGAGTTAAGGACGACCAGCACAGGGGCAGACACATTTAGCATCAGACGCAGATCGCTCTTAGGCCAGCGTGCTCACGACACAATCCACAGCACCTGGCAATACGTTACAGCAGTGCGGCACAGGAGCACCAGAACCAAGGGCACAGAGACTGCTTTGGCAAAGACCCCATTAAGCATCAAAATCAGGGAATTCTAACAATTAGGAACGCTAAAACCAATTGTGATTGTGCACCTACTGTATCAGGCCATGTTACTGTTTCTTGATGATACTTATTACTTTTCCAGATGAAAATTGCCCCAGTTGGTATAACTAGGCAGCACCCTGCATTGTCAAGATTGAATATAAGTGAAATCAGTTACAGTAACGCGATTTGGGTATTCTGCTCTCAGCGACAGCCCTGCTAACCTCACACAGCAACACCTGACAAGGTCACTGCAGGAAGCAGGAGCCACCCCCTCCTGCCCGGCCCAATTAGGACAGCAGGCTCCTCTCACCACACAGGAGCAGCACAGCTTCTGCCAGTCCAATTTTCACTCATTAACTCCGGGCTGCATAACACACGGTTCCCCTGACTGCTACACAGCTCTCTTGTACGACGAGACGTATTCCACCTCATTAGACCCACTCTCCTATTCTCTCAGACACGCTGATCAATCCTGCCCCGGTCCCACCGGGGCAGAACAGGATACACAGCCTTCTGCATGTCCTATATAACAACTTTGTGATGAATCTCTTTAAAATGCACAGGCTGACAATCCAGCCTCCCAGTTCTCCTATTTGTGCATTTGCTTGGAAACACAAGCAGCAGCAGGAAAAGTATTTTCATCTATCTTTCCTTAGCGAGGTTTCGGCTGCAACTTACCCAGTCTCAGTAAGGCTGTAAGGGAGCTGCCCAGCCTGGCCCAAGCTGACCCGTCTCGGTGCTGCAGCAGACGACAAATTTCTTTACACTCGACAGCACCCCCTAACCACACCAAAGCTCTCTGTACATTTTCTTGATGGGTAGTTGTCACTTCCAGCTGCAACTGCCATCGGGCACCAGACAGGAGGGTGGTTACTCCTCAGCGGGCACAGTCACTCCCACTTACACACAAACATAGGCAAAGCTGCCAGGGCGCTATTTTTAAAAGCAAGCTGGTGCACGACTCAATAAGCAAGCTAAGAGAAAATTACCTGCCTTACATCCACCTAGTAATTGACAAAAGCCGGAGGAACGGGTCAACAGGAACCTCAAGAAGCTCAACAAACATGAATTCCTGTGCCACGCACTGGGCTGACCAGGCAGAGAGGCTCTGCACAAGAGAATCTGGAAGTTCTGGGGGACACGTTGAAGGGCAGTGAGCAGCACGCTGCTGCAGCATCGGAGGCCGACTGCAGACTGCTCTGCAATAGCAAGAGCAAAAAAAGCACGTCAGGACAAGGAATTCTTACCAGCTGCACGGCACTCGTGAGGGAACACGTAGAAAATCCTGTTCAGTTGCAGGCTCTGCCAATAAAAGAGAGACCCTGACACACTGACTCGGGACAGTGGAGGACCACCGAGATGAGCAGGGGGCGAGCACAGGAGGAGAGACTGTGAGACTGGGGTTTGATCAACCCCCAGAAGAGGCAGCTGAGGGAGGAACTAACTGACGACTGCTGCTACCTGCTGGGGGCTACGAA